AAGAATTTGCTTCCTTCTTTTATTTACATTTTTTTCTGAAGAAACATGACCACTTATGTCAAGTTTGCTAATCATATTTCAAAGAATAAAAGTGTTAATTCTGTACAGAAGGTATTAATTGTATTAATTAATTAATACAGAAATTATTAATCAGTTTTACCATAGGTATTACTTTTAAATGTTGTTGACTTTTATTTTTATGAAATGAAAATGTTCCTGGGGCATCTAAGTACTGTATTATTTTCATTAACAGGAGGAGTCCCAATCAAAACAGATTAGTGAAACACTTTGGGGATTAAAACCCCTGAGAACTCTATCAAATTATTAAAACTAGCATTTTTTAGGCAGTATTCTTGTGAATATGATTTTCTTTTGTTAAATAGAAACAGAAGGGAATTAGGAGATTGTAAATAGGAGCAAAAACAGATTTTTACTATAAGCAATTGAACAAATGTTTGTAAATATATTTGGTTTCTTTCCACATTAACCCATCTGTTAGAGACTTGTATATATTTAGATCAATTTTTTAGAGAGCAAACCTTATTTTAAAGTTTTACTGAATTCTGTAAGCTCTTAAAACATGATGTACTCTGTTTTATTTATTTTTCACACAGATACTACAACTGTCTAAACATTACTCAAGTGTAATCTCCTAATATTTTCTTAAACTGTAAAATATCTTTTAATGATATTTTTATATATTATATATTTATATGTTATTTATTTATATAATATTTTGCAAAAGGGCTATATTTCATTTATTTCATTGAATATCACAATTCAGTTCAGTTACTAGTAGAAGACAGTGAAATTCATTTCTGAATTATTTGCTGCTTGGGAAACCCCATTTTAATAGATCCTCAAGTACAAACATCCATTGCTTTAGGTTACTGGGTTTGGATTTATTTCTTGTCGAACTTAAAAGTTATTGTGGTACCTTAAAAGCCAAATAAGATGCATTCTTTGTTTTGAAGTTCAATTTTAAATATATAAATATAGCAAATATGTTGTCAGAAAGAGTTACTGAGGCCTTTTGACCACAAGGTGACTGCTAACACAACTCCTTTTCTCTCAGCGTAACTATAAGTACCTATTTGAACTGATGCTTACAGATAAAGAAATGATAGATTTTGTGGTGAATCTTCCTTTAAAGAGAAAAGTGCACTAGTGCTTAAAGATATTTACTCCTTCCATAGCCTATAGAACATTTCGTTATCACTGTAGATTTCTCTGTGATATTATTTACACAGGTAGGTGAATTATTACAAAACCTCAGGGTGAGTTAATGTTCTCATTATGAAGATGTGTTTATGGGAAAGTGTCTGACCATGTTCAGCATGTGTTATTGTTAAGTATTTGGGGGTTTTTGTTAGTTAAACTGGGGGTATCGGTTCAAAATTTTAGGAATCTGGCATCTTCCAGTGTCCTCCCCAGTGCCAGAAGAGAACTGTCATGAAGTACCAAGAAGTCTCTGTGTATTAAGCTCTGCACAGAATGTGTTGGGCAAATGTAAGTGATCAATTGAGCAATCTAGATTTGCCCAGGTTAGTATATTTTACAAGAATGACAAACACTGCAGTAGCTCCTTGCCAGACTTAGAGGCCATGGACAACCTGAAAGTAATGGGCTACCTGACACTATCTGCTGATCATGGATCGACTAACGTGCTCAGCAGAACTGTGACTGAGAAGAAGCAATAGAAGATATGGTACGTCTTCAGCTTTATACTCCCAGTGCAAAGAGGAATCACGAAATGTGGATGTCAGTGTTACTTTACAGAAGTTCTTGTCAATACAGAGCAAAGTTGTTCCCAAAAATGGAAGAACAGAAACAGTGACAGACTGTACTGTGATGATTTTCAAGGGCTTATAACAGCTGAACATTTAGTTGATATCTCCAGCTGCTTCAAGAAAAAAATGTTGCGTTAAACAATTATCACTGACAGGGAAGAGGTCTATTTACATAGAAAAGTTTTCAGAAATCAGCAATATTCTCCACAGGATTCACCTCTGTAGTGTTTGTTTGATTGTTTTGCACCAAAAAAAAGGTAGATAGATCTGAGGGTGATGTCATATCTTGCAGCTGGCAACCAGTGCCATCCTGGTGTATTTCTGAAAGGCCCAACAAACAGGAGTACACCAGGGGACACAGACAAGCTGTGGGGTGTTGGAATTCATTTCTGTCTCTTCTCTAGTACTCTTTCTCTGACACTTTGGACCCCTGTTTCACATTTATCCATCAGCCAGTGACACTGGATGTTTCACAGAAGATCCCATTCCCTGAACTGTCTGGCAGGAAAATTGTGCTCACTCTCTGCCTGCTGCATTTCTCACCCAGAAAATTCAAAATGCATTTGGAAAGTGTCTGTGAAAGGTTTTAACTGCCCTGCTAAATCCTTGAGTGCTGCTTTTAAAGATTATCCATTATGTGGAGGAGGCTTCCCACAATGGCCTGGGAACATGAGACCTGAGCCTGCTTCAGCAGCTGGCTCTCCTTCCTGGCACAGCAGCAGGCTGTCACGGTGCTGCCGGCTGAGCACAGCTCACAGCCACCTCATCGCTCTGTGGCAGGGGCACTCAGGACTCCACTGGAAAAAAAGTAGGGTTTTACTAGGAAATGCTGATTAATCAAAATCGAGCTCTTTCATGGGAAAACGTCTCGTTTGACAAACTTCCAAAGAAACAGAGGAAAGTTTGCAGTGGAAGTATCCTCCTCTGTCAGTGTGATACCTACCAATAACCGATAGGTAACCAAAATTCCGAAGACTTGCTTCTCCAAGGTCTGGGGATCCATGAATCCCTCTGCTAAGACTGCTGGCATGCCAACAACACAATGGCTGTACTCCTGGGATAAATTTTATTAATTTTGTGGCAGTATTCATTTTAGAAATCAGACTTCAACCATGGGAAATTACAAAAACTTTGACCTTTCAACATGAAATAAAAGAATTTCCAGCAGAAAAAGAATTCTAGTTTATGCTTTTCTTTGCTTAGTAGGGAACTAACCTTTCCAGACTTCTTAATCTTTACTGAAGGTTCAAAAATCCTGTGATACTGTTGTCTCACTTCTGTTTTCCTTGAGGCTAATGGTTAAGTAGACTAGTCAAAACTAGCTGTGTGTACTAGAGGCATACTTCTCAAATTCTACATAAATTCTCAAAAAATGGTCTCCACTTAATGGAGTCCACTGGACTTCATTAATTTATTGCAGTTGACTATAAGTCTATTATATTATCCTTTCAGCTGATTTTTATCCTCAGATTATATATATAGGTTATCATACAATATCTGATACAGTAAAATCAACTGCTTCCACTATTCTATGATTACATACAACCATGTTAAGAAATATGAAGGACTGAGCAAAGGTGTGACTTTAAGTTAATCTGGATACAATGTTGGTATTGTTCAGTGCTACCTCCTAAGAAAAGACAACTACACATAAATATTTCAATGGGGAAAATGTACCTTAACACACATTATAATTTTCAGTACCTAAACAGTAAATTAATATTGAATTACATTTTTATTATAAACTGAAAAGAGAATCACAAGAAACAAATTAATCTAATCACAAAACAGCATTTTTTTCACTTTCTACCGGTGTTTATTTTTCAAATGTAATTCTGCAATTCATGTATTATGTGCTGCAGTGTATTAGAAACAGGAAAAAAGTAAAAGCCAAAGAACTTAATGACAAAACCTGGATTCCTTCTTCCTAGAGAAGGAAACTGCTCATACATAGGTGGAAACATTATGGGACATGGATTTTGTTTGATTTCTCTTCACCTTTATGTCTAGCATGTATGCTAGGTATAAACACTGGACTGATGGAGAGCTTTTGTAACCTGCTTGTCTGTACAGCAAATTTACTTGGCATATTTTTTGCAGTACCTTTTCTTCTAAGGTGGTGTATCTGTGAACATATTCTTGGTTTTTATATGATGTCCTTCAAAAATTCACTGGCTAGGGATAGAATACCGCTCTGAAATCTTTCCCTCAATGCTTGTGTAAACTCCAAAAGCATCATTCTTCGCTTTGGATAGGACTCTATGCCCTTACTTCTTCTTAGTACTAGTATCAATAGTAGTGTTAGCTCAATATTGTTGTCATAGTTAATATTATGCTGGTAATGCACTCTGCTTTACATTCACATTGAAAAAATAGTACCTTCATGGAATTTAAGGTATGAATGTTATTTTGGTATGGGTGGGATTTGCACGTCTACCACACCATCAGGCATAGCTTTAATGAGGGCCAAAGGCAAGTGATAGAGATTGAATATGGATCTGGAGCCAACAGCATTGGCTGCATCACTTTCTCAGCTCTCTCCTTCAAGGCCTTCAGGGTCTCTTGTCAGGACCCTACACCCAGGAACTCAGTCCTGGAGGGATTGCACTCAGGCTCCTGGCAATGCCCGCAGTCGCCTTTGGTGATGAGAAGGGGAAAAGTCAGTGTTTTCTCTCTTTGGGCTGTCTTGAAAACTGATAACACTGGTGCTGTTCTTAGTACTGACTAATAAATTTCTCTGTCCCACTGAAAAATATCTTTCTTTGAGTTTTGTTTAAAGGTAATTTTCTTACTGGATGCATGAGGGCAGCTTACCTTAATATTAAAGGGAAGCATTCATCTCTGATCTCTGACTTTCTTAATTTTTCTGCTTATCTTTGTTGGATGCACCATTCAGATAAGTCTTTTTAATGATTACAGATTTTTTGAGTAACGTATTTTGGCATATCCCAAATATTAACATGGATCTTGTAGTGATCTTTGAATCTGAAAGAAAGCTCAGAAAGAAAGTGGTTAAAAAATGTTGAGGAAGTGATGCATAAACCAATGAAGATTGGAAGCCACTGAAGTGATGTTTGTTGGTATTTGTCAAATATCACATGGAATTTGTAACTTAACTGCTTGTTGGCTATTTCTGTGCTAGAGGAGTTCCCACCTTCCTCTGATGCCTGTAATGCTGCACAACTTTTCAGATCCGTTCTTTTCCTCCAGCACTCCCAGCTATAACTATGCACCAAACATGGATAAGCACTGGATTATGCAGTACACGGGGCCCATGCTGCCTATCCACATGGAGTTTACAAATGTCTTGCAGCGCAAAAGACTTCAGACCCTGATGTCAGTTGACGACTCTATGGAAAGAGTGAGTTCAAGAAACTACTCTGAATACAATCTTATAAGTCAGTAACAAAATTAAATTCATTCATTCATTCTTTACCTTCACCAACCACATTCCAGGGAATGTCATTGTTCTGTGAGGAATTACTCCACTTATCCCCAGTAGAAATGAGTTTTGGTTCTCTGCAATATAATGCCGAGCTCGTCACTTTCTTTTTCAATTGCTGGGTCAATAAACTGATGACTTTTCTCAAAGGGAAAAGTCACTGGGCCTAATATAGAGCCTGGTGTTAACAGAAGATGCATCACCTGTGTGTACACATGGATAGACACAGGTGCACAGATGACAACTTCTATTCATTTCACACACTCCCTTCAAAGTTTGTCCTTCAGCTGAAATCTGGAAACTGGCAAATCACAGCAACTCAGGTGTCAGTCTACTAGTGTTTGCAGAAGTTAGGCAATGCAGTGTAGAGCTAATTATAGGTAACATGATACATGAACTATTAGGTGTACTTTGTATGACTTTTTGTTCCAAAATCAAGCACCATGACCAGAGATCTTCCCCTAGAGAGGTTTCTTTAAACTTTAATAAAAATTTACAGCCTTTTCCCAAGCCCACAACTGTAAGGAATGAGAAAGCTGTAGACTAACACAGTAAATCAAATCTGAGTGCCTTTTCCCCTAAAGCTGTAGCAGACTTTTTTCAAAAGCTCTGTTTGAGTACACAATGAATTTTGGACATACTAATGCAACTACACCATTATTACCGTATTTTTTCTATTTTAATTTTCTGGACCTGTTTAATTGTCCCCTGCGTAAAATGTGAACTTGAACTTGTAAGTTGATTTTTTTAGCAGCGCAGCAAAGACAAGATGTGAAAATGCCCATCCCCAAAACATCTGTGTAAACAACCTCACTGATGCCATGCTTGGTCCTGTATATTTAAGGGTTATAAATGATGGTTATACATGATTATGCACAAAACATGCTTTGCTACACTTTACTCAGAGTTCTTTCTGTGCTGTGTTGCAGTTACACCAAATGCTCGCAGAGATGGGAGAGCTGGAGAATACCTACATTATTTACACTGCTGACCATGGTTACCATATCGGGCAGTTCGGACTGGTCAAGGGGAAGTCAATGCCGTATGACTTTGATATTCGAGTTCCTTTCTTTATTCGTGGCCCAAGTGTAGAGCCGGGATCAGTGTACGTTCTCTTGTGTCTCTAAGCACAGCTGTTGAGCCTGATGTAAAATATTTCTAAGAGCATGTAATTATCACTCTGTCTAGCTTAATTTCATAAAGGATGCCCTATTATTTCAAAGCAATGAGTCTCATAAAGAGGCAGGTCCTTCACTTTGCATATTATGAATAAGTTATAAAGGAGATGAGAAAATTGTGTAATGCACAGTCATGTAGTGTTAGACTCTGGGTTTTGCTTTTAAAAACTATGTGTTCATCTTTACTGCTCACCCTATGGTTTATCAGAATGAATGGCATCATGCCCTCATTGTCAATGAGATAAGAGCAGTATGGCTGCTGCACCTCCTTGTTTTATTTTGCTAAGCTTTTTCTTTGTGATGACAGTCTGCAGTACTGGCCTATCATTTGGAGTTGTAGACTTCAAAGGAGGTTTTCTAAACTTAGCACTTGTGTAGAGCTTTACATCTTCAAAGTCTTGATAAGCATTAATTACCATTCTATTTCCAAGAGAATGTGAAGACTTACATATCAAACACATGGCAACTATGACCTTTTCTGTTGATTTGCAGAGTGCCTCAGATAGTTCTGAATATTGATCTTGCTCCAACAATTCTGGATATAGCAGGACTTGACACACCTCCAGATATGGATGGCAAATCTGTCCTAAAGCTTCTGGACTTGGAGAGACCAGGAAACAGGTGAGTCCCAACATTGTTTTTAGCCAGTTCAGAAGCAAACACCCAAGTAAATCAAAAACTGAGTGGAAAAAGGGATTCTGTGACTATGAGCTGTGTCATGGCAACAACCCATTTGAAGAGTCTCTTAAACAGCACATCTATAAAATTGCAAGTATATATGTAAGTGGAGTGTTGTTTTTTCAAAAATAATTTTGTTAATACTAGCAGTGCTATACATAAGTGCCAGCAGTAAACATTATTATTTTACTTTCAGGTTTCGAACAAACAAGAAGACCAAAATTTGGCGTGACACATTTCTGGTGGAAAGAGGGTAATTATTAGGGGTGAGAGAGTTTTGGGAGAGCATGCCTGCTGGGAACACTCTCTTGTACATGCTTTCCTTTCTGGTCCCTCCTCTTCCTTTTTATCGTCAGAGAAGTGGTAAAGTTTGCAAGCAAACTGACAGGCCTGACATGTTTCCTAGTTTCCTACCACTACCTTTGCAAGGGGCTGTACTCCCAAATCCCTACCTCCAAAGAAATTTGAAAGCATGCTTTTCTGGTGACTCTCCTAGCTCCTTTCCTTAACATTGTGCTTGTACCCACTGATGCCATCATCTGATTTATTTTCTTACCAAATCTCTGTTTCAAATCCAGCTGCGCAGAATTCTTATATCAATTGATTTTGTATTTTCCGTCACAGACTGGAAGCATTCCTCCTTTTTGTTACAGCTAAGAAAAGAGATTTGTGACTGTAACTGCTCCTCTTTTCACTGATACCTACTTAGATCCTCTCACCTTGCCAGTTGTTGCTGTGAAAATTTTCTCTGGGTAAAAATTTTACAGCAATTACCTTTTGGCACTTTATGACTTTACAGATTGTGGAAATCTTGTTTGATGTATTACAAAACGGTGCACATAAGACACATTATAATATATAAAGTACAGTCAAACTAGTGCTGAGTATGGAAGTCCTGTTGTGTCTTCAGCTGGGTTTTTCAGCCAGGCAAGTACTGTTTCAGAGAGTTTTGCCTTGTGAAAAAAACTGCATTGATGTATGAATGGTGATGAACGGTACAGTGTGACATATTTTAACAACCCTTGTTTCTCTTTGGGCAATTTTCAGTCAATCACTTGAACCTTTTTTTCAGTACGTGACCTTCATCAAAGGTCAATAACAGAAACGTGACGATTTTTCCCATGAGTAGACAGTAAACCTTCAAGTAGCTTTGCTTTTCAAGTTATATTCATCATCTTAAGAGTTTAGAAGAATGTATCTAAAATGTTCAACTTTTTTATTTCATAAGCAAATTTCTACGCAAGAAGGAGGAATCCAGCAAAAACAATCAGCAGTCTAATCAACTACCAAAATATGAGAGAGTCAAAGAATTATGCCAACAAGCAAGATACCAGACAGCCTGTGAACAACCAGGACAGGTAAGCAACAAGTAAATTCAGTCTTCCAAGAGCCATAGGGAAATACGTATTTTACACTATGGAACAAAAGAATTTGAAGAATATGGCATTTGAAAGATAACTAAGGGATCATTGTTGTGAATATCAGAGCAAAAAAAAAAAAAAAGTTGCTTCAAGCAGTGATCCTATGTAAGGTTTTGAAGGACTGTCCCTTAGTTCACTGTCTCAGTACAGGTCTTATGGTACAACTCACATGCTCAATTATGATATGAAATGACTACTTTTTATTTGATTCAGTGTATGACTAAATATGCAATAAAACTCAGTGATAACTATGTGAGTAAGGGAAAGATAGCTTTTTGAGCAATGAAAGCTTGTAATTCCTGGGCTAGTTCAGAATTACTGAAGCAAGCTGGTTAGTACGAAGGTTGCACGTGATTTCATTTGCTGGGATGAACAACACACTTAGTAATGCTTTTTTATTTATTGAAACACCTTTAACAGGAGGGTCCCCTTGCTCAGAAATGCTCACTGTTTCAGGTCACTGTAAGGATTCGGGCAGCGAAAGCCATACCCAAGCATTACTTTTCCTTCTTGTAGCCTTATTTATTTCAGTATAATGCCTGACTCTGATACAAAGGCCTAATTACCTGCTCATAAAACCAGAAGTTACTGCACCACTGACTACTATGCTTACACCTTAAGCTCTGTAGTGCATATAGAAGGAGAGAGCTAAATTAAGAAATAGTGAGTCTGACTCCAAATTCTCTTCAATCCATTTAGAATTAATGCTATACCAATGGAAACATATAATGATGAATTTACTGGGTAGATAATGTAAGGGATCTGTATGCCTTCTCATTGACACCACCTCCAACCATGCTGGAGCACATGCTGGGGGCCCCAGGCAATGCCTTGTGCCTGCCTTGCTGTCCTCCTGCTCCATCCCCATCCCCACACACCTCCCCAGAGAAGTGTGAGGTGATTTCTCCCAGGCAGGCACTTGCACTTTTCCCTCAGATGTTTGCTCAGACCACTGCAGCCAGCCACAGACCTGGCGCTGAAATATCAGTAGGCTGTTTGGAAGGAGGGCATAAAGCTTTCACTGTGCTCTGCTCCCCTCCGCAGCCACCCGTGGTGCTTCGCCCAGGGCAGGTAGAGCTCTGCACAGCAAACCGGAGGGCTGAGAGAAATGTTCCGTCCCTACCTTCCCCCTTCTCGTTCATTAGAGTGTTACAGTAAGTCTTGGTTAATCAGATTGGACTGGATTAGTGTTTTGGCTGGCACATCCTTGGTCAGGTCCTCTGTCACAGCTCTCACCTCACACATGCTGCTTAAGCGCAGCCACTTTTGAAGGCATATACACAATATTGCCGTCTCACCCAAGGGCAAAGTTTTCAGAAGTTCAAGCACTGCCATTGTAAACATAGATTAAATTTGAAAATCTGAACGTTTTATAAAAACTAAAGGAGATCAATGAAGTCATTTAGACTGTTAGACGCTAAAATGTTTAGTTTTAAAGTACCAAAATATTTTCTTTGCAATTATTCCTTATATTTATTACCTCTCATGCCAAAATGCAGGTTTGGAATGACTTTACTTTTCCACATGTGAAGAGAAAAGGTTAAGTGGTCCTGACCAGATATCACACCTGAAGCAGTAGGAAACACTGCTCACAGCCCTGTTCTCAGCCCAGGGCAGTAGACCATCCCATATTTGTCAATCTCATTTGATCAAAAGGTGAAGAAAGAGGGGCTTGAGTTATCAGGGAGGCTATGAGAGCAATAGTGTTTGATAGCAGGTCTCCCACCTACAAACTCCCATCAAGGTCTTTTAAGCGCAGAAGGTATGTTGGCTCCACAGAGCCAGCAGCCATCCCTCACAGCTGAATAAAGGACAGGGCTAAACTGACCTCTTTAAGACGAATTTAAGACCTAAGCATTGGAGCATATAAACTCTTTTTCAAAAACAAAGAGATAAAACTTGTCCCTGGTACTTCTAACATCCTGAACTCTTCTCTAGGGATGCTGAAGTTAAACGTGCCTACTGAAACCTTTCATCAGACAGAGCACCACGAAGGGGCTCGTCCTCGTCCTCTGTGCTCGTTCAGGCCCTAGTGCACAACCCACTCCTCTCAGCCCATTTGCCCTCACACCAGCCTTGAGAAGCAAGGGCAGCTCCTCTGTCAGGGATGGACTATTTGAGGTGGTCACAGGGAAGTCAGCATAGAACACTAAGGGTGTGCAAAACTGAAATACATGTGCTTCAGTGAGGCACTGCAATGTGAAATAAGTGTCTGTGGGGTTTTTTCCATGTAGAAAAGGTCTTTAAACAATCAAAAGTTAGGAGGTCAAATAATTTTACTTTAGATAAAGTAAAGTAAATGGGTTCCAATGTGCACTTATGAAGGTTCCAATGTGCACTTGTGAGGTTCCTCCAGCAGATTTGCCTTAGTCATTTTGCACCTCTTGGAAAAGAGAAAGAAGAAATACTGTTATGTGGGACTTAACTTTGCTTTATCTTTAGAGGTTATTGTATTTAACTTCAATTATATAGGTGCATATATAGAAAAAAAATTTAATTACTATGGTTTATAATACTTCCTACATTTACTCTAATCAATTGCAGTTAATGTCAGTTAAATTAAAATTGCCTTCACAGAATGAGTGATTACTGCCAGAGTTTTAATGAAATTACTGGTCTGTTGGAAGTTGCTGCTAAATGTCTGAAACTAAGAATAAGCATTTGGGGAATTAATACACCGATGTACTGTCTAGTACATTTAGAGCTTGTTCTTAACTTAAATTTACTTAAGTCAATATTTAGTTTATTTGAAATGGAGAACACAATGAAGTGGAAAAAGAAAAAAATTAGTTTTTCCTGTATTAAAACAAGGTGTGATCCTGAGACCTGCTAGTTTCGAAATCTCCAAGGCTGTGGTACTCAGTATAATAGCTTCAGCTTATTTTCTATTAAAAAAAAAAAAAAGAAGAACCTGGCATAGTAAAGGTAATTTTTAAATTAAATTTTTCAATGTCCAATGTCTATCCAAAAGTAGATAAACCTAAAAAATGGAGGGGGGAAAGGGAAAATGTTGAACATCTGTATCATATAATTATAAATTACTTTCACCATGTTTTTTTAATGTATTTAAATTTGTTAGCACCACTGACAGATTGCAGCACTTTCAATGTAGAGCACTGTCCCCTTGTTATTTTTTCATAATCCCCTTTATGGGAGGACAGTTTCCAAAAGTTCAATCACCTTCTTGAGAACACATCAGAATTGAGATGTGTGTTGGATATGTTCGCTTTTTGAGTTATGTTCAGGCAGTCATTAACTTGGGTCAGCAGTGAGCCCTTGCCAAGCAGAGGAGCACGCCTGCTGAGCTGCACTAGCAAGAGCACTGCTAACAGGTCATGGGAAGTGAGCCCTTGCCCCTCCTTGGTGCCTGTGAGCTGCAGCTGGAGTGCTGCATTTGGTTTGGGACCTCCATGAGCAGAGGGACTTGGGTAAGCTGGAGCAAGTCCAGTGGAGGACCCCTGAGATGGTGAGGAAGTACTGGGGAGTGGAACTGAATGCAAAGGGGAAATCTAATTGTTTCCTTCGGCTAACTAATGGCTAACTAGAGAGAAGACAGACCCTGGCACTTCTTGAAGGTGCACAGCAAAATGGTCATCAGCAAGAGACAAATTGCAGCAAGGGGAAGCCTGACGAGATGCATGGAAAAAAAAGTGTTACCATAAGCATAATTAAGAACCAAAGCCCAAAGAGGCTGTGGAAAGTCCATCCAGGGACACTTCCAAAACCTAATAATTTTGTTTATGCTTTGAGGAGGAGGATGAACCAAATGACCTCCAGATGTTCCTTCCAGCACATGCTCTCAATCTTTTACTTGCTTAGTATCTGGACTTGAAGATTTCATATTTTTTTCTTCCTCCTCAGCTTCACAACTTGGGAAGTGCCATTAATTTTGTCCATCCTGTAAGTGAGTTATGGGTCATCTGCTCATATCATATTTGGATATAGACTAGATTTTAGCTCCCACCCTGACCTGGTTGTTGACCTTTGCTCACCCAAAGCACAGGCAGTCCCATCACACCCAGGCCAGGTTCACTCGTGGGTGAAGGGAGCAGCAGTGAATGGGCTCTCTGCTCAGCTTCAGGGCTTGGAGAAGGGTAAAAGTTTCCTTTGCAGTCCGTTCCCATTGCAGAGAATGCTCAAGAAATTATGGGGGGAGTGGGAGGTTTCCTTCATAGTTTATGTGCCAAATTTGTCACCAGTTTACATGGTGTAACTTACTGAGGTCATCTAACTGAGCCTAGTTAGTTTAGCAGTGGATATTGATGGGTTTAACACTTAAATGGCTTGCAGGATATTTTTATATTTACCCTCTCAGCTTTACTGTAATAGGGTACGCAGTGCAGAAATATCGATTCATCTGCAGCATTGCTATCTCTGCTATTGTTTTAAAATGGGAAACAATTAGTGTGAACTTATAGCTAAAGCTTTGTTAGTTTTCCAATAGAGCAGAAATCATAGCATGCGAACAAATGTTTCTCTGGATTAATACGACCTTATCGTGACACAAATCTCTTCTCAGATTTCCACTGGAATAACCTGAGATGAGAATATATGTTAGTTCAGGAGGTTTAGAGGCAAACTGCTCTTAAATTCTCTGGCAGGTTATTTTTGTTGAACTCACTCCATCTTCTCACCCATGAAATTTTTCTGGATACTTAGCAAATATCAAATAAAACCATGTTAACTGTGTTTTCATTTATACTTTTTCTTTCTCTCTTCCCTTACCTAAATGTGTAATTAAGGAGCTGAATTAATTCATAAGTATTTTTTCTTTTTCCCTCTACCAGTCTGAGTCATGGGAATTTTCCTGAGGCATAATTTTGACTTCTGGGACTTAACACTCCTTCCCAGATCATAGTTACCTTTTGAGGTCTTGTGACCGATAGGCTGTTTCCGCTGTACTACTCGATCCATTATTTATAATCAGTATCAAATCC